CTCTTCTGGACCCCCAGCAGGGAGGTCCGCAGGCAGAGCCTGAAGCGCCACACGGTGCTGTTTGAGGAGCAGATGGAGATGGAGTCTGAGAGGTGAGACCGCCTGGCCCCACAGGACGCCACTGACCAAAGCCTCGCCTGGCCAGGCAGGCAGGCAGACCCCAGAGCAGACCCCTTGTGGCAGACCATGTGTCCTGGCAGGGACAGCTGGAGGGAGGGGTCCCCAACACAGCTGGCAGGTGACCGTCAGGTGACCGTCAGCTCCACAGGGAGGCCCCTGCAGGTGGGAGGTGGAGCCAAGCTTGGGAGAAGCTTCTCACAGGGAGACACAGCGCAGGCTCCTGTGGGCAGCAGCACCTGTCATTAGAGCAGTCAGAGGCCACCCTGAGCTCCGCCCAGCACAGAGGGCCTGCGCCCACGCTGCTGAGGGGACAGGGCTGCCCAGGCCCCCAGCTCAGGGCGGGTCCCTCCCCCTCCCCACAGGCTCTGGCAGCACGTCACTAGGGCCATCCACGAGGGAGACCAGCACAGGGCCACCCAGGAGAAGTGTGTGCTGGAGGAGGCGCAGCGGCAGCGCATCCGCGAGCACCAGCAGGGCCTCACGCCCTGGACACCACAGCTGTTCCACCTGGACCCGCTCACCCACGAGTGGCGCTACCGATACGAGGAGTGAGCACAGCAGGCGGGGCCTGGGGCCTGGCCGCGGGGCTGGCCCAGCCGACCACCCTCACCCTGGTGCCAGGCCACAGGGGCTCCTGGCTCCTCCCCCTCCGACAGCCCTCCCCCTGGAGGGGCAAGTGACAGGGAGGGAGGGCCATATAGGGCCCACCGGCCCTCTGGGGGCTCTGTCCACCCTGGGGAGGCTGAGGGCTGGACCAGGACAGAACCCTCTCCCAGAGGGCCTCTGCCAACAGATGTCCTCTGGCCCCCCAGCCACAGCCCCTGGAATCCCCTGACGGACGTCACCCAGTTTGAGCAGGATGGGGTTCTGCACACCCTGCAACGGGAGACGGTGGCTCACAAGACCACCTTCCTGGGCAGCCCGGAGTCAGGGCGTGAGGTTAGCATCCCCCAGGGCCTGCTCCCTCGGCCACCTCCCACCCGCTTCCCACGGACCGCTGCACAGTGGGCCCACCGACCTGGACCCTGGACTCCTGCCCCGCCCAGTGTGGGACCCCTGGTGACTGGATCTGCAGGGGCTGTGCAGAGCTGCCGCTCCCGCCCTATCCCGACCCAAGTCCACACCACGTTAGGAAGCACGTTGTCACGTTCCACGTTGCAGGGAAAGGCTCAGGGCAGCCCAGGGACTGCCCAGGCAGGAGGAGGAGTTGGCGTCTGGCACATCTGGGGGCTGGAAGGATGGGAGGGAAGGCAGCAGGGCCCTGGCACAGACCTGTCTTGGGGACACCTGGAGTCCTCCTGGATGCCTCTGCCGCGTGGCGCCTGGTCCACGTGCACCATATGCCCAGCATGTGCAGAGCCAGCTGACCGGCTGGTGTCCCTGCAGAGGGGTCAGCTGCTCTGTGTTACCACTGAGAGGGGAGAGGCTGTGGCTGCCCAGTCATGGTGGCAAGGTCCGAAGCACTCTGTCCGACTCCAAAGCCATGGGATTGGCTCTCTGTGTGCCACCTCCTCCAGCACCTCCTCCTGGCACACACGGGCCACGGCTCCTCGAGGGATCAGTGTGAGTGTGGTAGGTGGCTCCCAGCTGCATTGGCTCCATCTTCCTGCAGAGGTCCGGCCCAGACCGGCGACTCCGCAAGGCCAGTGACCAGCCGTCTGGCCACAGCCAGGTGACGGAGAGCAGCGGCTCCACGCCCGAGTCCTACCCAGAGATCTCGGATGAGGACTGCGACTCTGCTCCCGGTGAGCCTGCCGTGGCCTGGCCCCTGCCCGGCCTGAGCTGACCGGGAGGGCAGGAGAGGAGGATTGGCCCCAGCTCAGTTCCCCTGCTCCATGGCAAAGGCCAGAGAAGAACCTTCCCTGAGTGTGGCCAACCCCAGCAGGAAGCCCTCCCAGCAGACTCTGCCCTCTCCGAGTCCGAGGGTGGGCAGCCCGGGGGCTGATGAGGGGTGTAGCCAGGACCGAGGGAAGGAGGGGCAGCAGGCCAAGGCCAGGGCGGTGAAGGGGAGGCCCAGCAGTGTTCTGGCCCCGCCCCGCCCTGCCCCGTCAGGCTCTGGTCACTGGCTGTCACGAGGTGAGCTGTGTGTCCCCAACTTTGTCCCTGCCGCTGTGCCCTGAGCCACTTGTCTCCCAGGGCTTGTTAGAGGCCAGCTGAGCCTCAGGAGTTCTCCAGCACCCTCCAGCCCCTGCTCCTGCTCCTGCTGGTTTTCCACCTGTGGGCAGGGCCAGAGCCGGTGGCGTGCCATCCCAGCTCACCTGCTTCTCCCTTCCTTCCTGTGTCTGCCTGTGCCTGGGGTGTGCAGCTGATGACAGCCCATGTCCTCGGTGCAGGAGGGAGGCACAGCAGCTGCAGGCACTGCGGGAGGCCGTGCTGTCCATCCGGGAGGCCCAGGAGGAGCTGCACAGGTAGGCCAGGCGGCCGGCCCCCAGCCAGGGCAAGTGGGGGGAGGCCAGCTGTGCAGGCCGGAGGCACACGGCTCTATTCCGGAGCTGCGCTTGGGAGCCAGTGAGGGGTCCCTGCAGACAGTGGGTCTCAACAGAATGAGTTCACAGTTTAACAGAAACTGGGCCAGAGATTTTGAGGGCCCAGGTCTAAATCTGAGTAGCCCCAGGGAGGACCCCAAGGTTTGTGGAGGCAGATGGCAGCTCAGAGGAGGGAGTATAGGAGTAGCCCCTCCTTGGCACCCGCAGGTGCAGCTGGGCAGGTGAGCAGGCAAGGAGGGCCCCAGAGCCACCCTCTGTGTCCCTGGTGGGTGGGCACCCTCTGGGCCACCACAGGTGGAGCAGAACAGTGTCCAGCTCATGCCGGGCTCCAGTCTGGGTTGAGGGACTCCCTGGCTGGGGACCCTGCCCTGTCACACCTCAGCCCCCACCTCTATAAAATGGAGTTGATGGCAAAACACCTGGAGCAGTGGGTGAGGCTGGAGGCTGATCCCCTCAGGCACCCGGCGAGCATTTGGGCTCTGCTGTCCTTGTGGCTCCTCTCTGGCTCCTGAAACCTACCAGGGACAGGACACCAAAGGGCAGAAATGTTCCAGGAGTGGGACATGGGACAGCGAGTGTCCCAGGGCCATGAGTAAAGGCCTGTCCACCAGGGCGTCAGCTCCTGTGTTGTCAGAGACGGGACCTACAGGGCCCGACACAGACCTGGGCCAGGGTGCTGCCCGGGGAGACTGTGAGGTCTTGCAGGTTAGAGGCCCTGGAACTGTCAGGCAGGGCGGCCATGCTGGCCCCAGCCCTCCTCCCGCCCTGTGTTGCAGGCACCTGTCGGCCATGCTGAGCTCCGTGGTGCAGGCTGGGCAGCCCGCCCCCGGCCTCCTGCAGAGCCCCCGCACCTGGTTCCTGCTCTGCGTCTTCCTGGCTTGTCAGCTCTTCATCAACTACATCCTCAAATAAGGGCCCCTGGGGCAGCGGGCTTCCCTGCAGACCCCACCCCGAGCCTGAGCCTCCCTCCCAGGCACCCAGCACTTTACGCCAGCCCCACGGAGGCAGAAAGGCCTGGCCAGCCTGCCACTGTGGCAGAGGCCCACGGCAGGAGGGAGGGAGCAGGGGCTG